TGAAGCTAAATGGAACTGCTAAGCTCCTTCAGAAGTAAGGTTACTTCAAATAGTTATGATTTTAGCAGAAATGCATCTTTTCCTCTTGCTTCACTGCTTAGATACTTCCCTTTTAATGTATTTAAGAAATTAAAAGCTAAGAACTGTCTGGAAATGCAAACTACTCATAAAAGGACACTGAATTTAAGGGCAACAGTCATCATGGAAATCACTGTTGCAGAATAGTCACAGGATAATCAGAGCTGTGAGAGCACACTGTCCCTACGTGCTTCAAGGACTCATGATTTCCTTCTCTCCCTCCCCTGCCTCTTTCTGCCTTAGTCAAGGACATTAACTCCAAGAGAAACTCTTCTCTCTCCCTCTTGTTCCTTGCCTGCCTGCTGGCTACAAGAACTTTGACTCTGCAAGAAACTGCTGGCCTATCCAATACCTGAGTGGGATGGTGGTGTAAGTGTGTATGTGCATCTGAGTGTGTGTTTTCCTTACAAATTCTGTCTCTATCTCTCTAACGTACAAATAAATCATTACTGCATACAAACGCAGTTTGGCCAGTTATGGGCTAAAACTCTGGCTAACATCTGTGGCTGCAGCATTAGTTTCGATAAACATTTGCATGTAAACAGGACAGACAGTTACAGAATTTGTATCAGAACTATTATAGAACTACGTAATTTACCGTTATTTTGATTTCTTTCTAAAACATAAAATGTTAGTTCAGAGATGTAAAACCTATTATTAAGAAGGAGCACCTTACAACATATGCAGTACCTCAATACATTCGAAGTATGGTTAAGTCAAAAGTGAGCAGACTCTATCTGACTGTAGAGAATCATAGAATCATTTAGGCTGGAAAAGACCTAAAGACTCAGCATGATTTATTGTGTTGCATTGTTCCAAGTACTGAAATTAAATGCAATTAACTATATTGATAACAGAATTATACTATTAAATGGTGTAACATGAAGTTCTGGTAGGATATATTCCCGATTCATATGAGCTGTTCCATTTGTTTACAAATTATTAGCCTTGGAAACAGACCCCCTCCCCCTAAAGTAAAAGCATGGAAAAAGTTTAAGCAAAGCAGTATATATTCCTTTTAATTGTCTTATCTTTCAGGTTTTCCTAATGACTCACTGCTAAGTGAAGCTACTTTCAGCTGGTGAAGTCTGGTTGACAAGAACATTTTTGATGTACACCATTTTCACAAGAAAGAAAAACTTGAAATATTCTGCCTCCTCCAAAACTCTTTGCTAAAAATGCAGCTTCTGAAAAAAAATCAAAACCTTTTATCTGCCTGAAAAACAGCAAAATTTTGTCTTGAAGTCTAAAATTCACTCTCTATTTCTAGTTTTTCAAGGAATGTTACACCTTTAACCCAACTTAAAGGATTCTGAGATGCAAATTAAATATTCTCTTCCAATAAGAATTGATTTTTAATGGAAAAAATGTCAGTGGAAAATTTCAGTCTACTCTGCCACTGATATTAGTGGATCTAAGCTAGTGCAGATTGCACTTAGAGGACTGAGAGACACGTTCCAAGTGTTTCCTTAGTTATTTGGCACTTGGTTTGCAAAAATTATTGTTTTCAAAATTTTCAGAATTTCTAAAACTACAGACTCTGTCCTGGAAACCACCTTTACCTGAATCAGTGGGAGAGTTTATATAGGACAAGAGCATGCTAGGGAGGCACAGGAATATTTAATTTGCTAGTCCACTGCTTTTCTATTGCAAGATGTAATGGTACAATACAAAACTAGCAGAGTCATATTTTCCTATATGCAGAACAAGATAACCTTCCTGCTATCTGTTCAGCGTGGCTTGCTTCCAAGGCCTTGGAAACATATAAACAAATCCACTTATCTATATTTGATTAGTAGGCTTGGTGTACCTCATCCTGTTCAGTTTTACAAAAAAAGGCTCGCAATGCAAACAACTAAAAATGCATTGTTACAGATTCTTAATTGGATTTTAATTCACCACTGTTTTCAAGGAGAAATATAGCTTCCTCATTCTCTGTGAGTCAACTAGTCAAAATGTTATTCTTGCAATGTTGTGTGATCCCTGCCTTAACTGAATGCTGATCTTTAGTGAATGGAAGTTTCCTTGAGTTTCCTTGACACCCCCTCTGTGAGGCTAAGGAATAGGATGAGCAGTGAGGAAAAACGGGCTATTGCAATGGTAGTGCAGGTCTGGCATGGCCCTCTGGAGGTCACAGGTTCTTCCAAGGGGCACATATCCAGGCCACGGCTCAGCAGTGCGGTGACTTCCCCAAGTGCAACAGGTATGGCTACGTCATCGTTTCTGTCTGGCAAAATAAGGCATCAAAGCAAGGGGTAGTCTGGGACACAACAGAATAAACCCACAGTTCAGAGGCACAGTAGAAGGAGAGCATGAGAAGGAAGTCAAATTAGACTGAGACATGATACATAATAAATCTGAGAGAGACTAACAAGACAAATTGGACAAGATTTCCAGTAAGCTATCCTATACCTTGCTAAGCTGCCCCTGTGGTGATTCAGCTTACTGACTGTGGGGAAGAACTACCCTAGAAAAGGGCAGTGGCAATTACATAAGAAACGCAGGCAGCTATTTATCACCAATTATTTGTTTTCTCTTAGGATAATAAAATAATTCAGACTGAAAACTCTAGGCCTGACCTGGTTAGATCTTTGTCTGGCGAGAGCTCCAATGTCTTCAAACTCAGTTTCAGTCAGTTTCTTGACACTGACATCCTGGTGCTTCTGCATGGATAAGTCATGGACAGCGGCATCAATTATGGTTTTGCATCAGGTTAAACTTAAACTGATTAAATCTGCTGGTTTTAACATGAGAAATAAAACCCTAAAGATATATTACTCCCTCCTTACATTTAGAACTATACGTTCATATAATACTTATACTGCATGACAGCATATCATTTGTCAATGGACAGAAACAAGAGGAAATGAGAGATCTGTTTGAAGCAGCACATATATCCTGTGGTCTAAAGAAACCACAAGAAAAGCTTGCAGAGTAACGCTCTTTAATGCATTCATTTCTGCTACTTTCTTTACAGTTCTAGTTCACCACAAGATAAGAGGAAAAGGGCGGGGAGAGGTGTCTCACAGGGAACCAAATACTCCTCCTCCATTTCAGCAGCAGTGAACTTAAGTTTCCAAGAGCTGGCAAACCAGCATTCTGCAAACTATTATGGCCCTACATTTCATCTGCTACTTAATTCATTCACAGAAATACATCTGCTCTTTGTGCTTGAGACACTGACTTTTGATTTCTTTTCTTGATGTAACAAAAAGACAATTTAGTATAAAGAAGATTGAAATTTAATTGTCATTCTTTTGGGTGTAACAGTTCCTTTTTGAGTCGAACAGTACTGAAATCCATAATGATAAACTCAGGGACCAGATACCTGCGACCTTAGAACATCCAACAACCAACCAATAAACTTTTACTCATGCATCAGAATAATTCACAAAATCTAAAAAGAAAAGTGAAACTAGCTTGAAAACTATTGTTGAAAACCAATATGAAACTAGAAGAGTCTTATTTTCCTTGCAACTAAGTAAATTGCAACTAAGAAAACAGAAAAGCATGTTAAATTAGTCAAAGTTTCCAGAGGGATTTCACCATTCTCACAATTGTGACACTACCCACTTTTCACTACATGCAGTCATAATCTGTTCTACTGGTGTATATTAATAAATCTATTATCCTGATAGCAGCAAGTTTCTTCTATAACTGTCATTTAGAGTCATCATAAGCCTTCAGTACCAAGAAAGACAGAAAACTAAATCAGGTACCACACAAGTACTACAGCAGTGTAAGAGTGACACCAAACTACTGTAGGGGGGCACAGGAATCATTTTTACAACCATCAGGAGCAGCACTGCCTTCATCTTCACCAAGTATTTGGTGAGCCTGAAGGCAGTCACCAGCCACAAACTCAAGTATCTTCCCTGTATCTGCCGGGAAGTGAAAACCAGCGGGGCAGCTCCTGAGGTGACCAGATCATAAAGAGATTTCTCTGTGACAGCGACTGTCAGCCTCAGCACGAAGTTACATAAGGCACGCCAGAACTGCAAACACAAGGACCGTCAGTCAACAGCACTTTTAGGCACCACCTTTACGAAACATTCCCTGTGTGGGAGGAGTCACGACAGCTCGCACCCTCCGCACTCAGCTGTCGCTCCCCACGCCAGCCCTCGCCCCCCGTCGGTGCCGGTGCTGCTCCGAGGAGGGAGCGCGGCAGGGTTGGATGCGGCGCCGTGCGGGCGTTCGCGCCGGCAGCAGGCGATGCGGGGGCAGCACCAGCCTGTTCGGCAGCCACCCCGGCTCATCCAGATACTTTCCCTGCTGCCTTCCAGCCTGAGAGCGAGCTGAGGGAGAGTTAAGGGCAGGGCCTGGGCAGCGCCCAGTGACCCCTAGGCTCTCCATGCCCGCCCCTCCGCTCCTGCCATCCTCCCGAGCAGCCCCAGCTCTGCTGCGCTCCCGTGGGCGGCAGCGGGATAGGACACTTCCCCTGCCGGCTGCCCTGAGCCTGCCCAGCCCCGCCGGGGCGATGTGCCCTTGCGGACACCCCCCGCAGGAAGCTCCGCTTGCGACAGAGCTCAGCACTCTTGGGACACCGGGGCTCTGCAGAGGAGGGTGAAACAGCAGCCGCGGGTGCCTACCCGGCGGCAGCTTCGCCGGGAGAGCGGTCCGGCTGTGCACGAACCTCCCCGTCTTCCTGCCCCGGCTCCTCTGTCCCGCAGTGCCACCCCCGCACTCACCTGCCGCCGCCTCCAGCAGGAGCCCGCCCGGTGCGCTGGCCGGACCGGCTCTCCCCGGACTGGGAGTGGGACCGCGGAAAGGCTGAAAACACTTTCCTAACTTTGTTTTGAGTACGGGTGACATAATTGGGCGAGGCAGGCTGCGCCCCGGGGGCGGGCCGGCCGTCCCGGCCTTTCCCTCCCTCCTCTCTACCTGCAGCCAGAGCGCGGTTGCCCCGCCCGGTCTCACCTCACCTTGGGCTAGAGAGGCTCGTCCTCGGCGAGACCAGACAACCGGAGGAGTTGAGGGTCCTCAGTCTTCCCTGGTCCTTCTTGCAGTCAGGACTACATGCACGACGGCTCTCCAGGGTAAGGGTGTTGGTAACCTAAACGGCACAGGGCAGGAGAGTTTGGAAGCGCGCAGGAATGCTCATCCACAGCAAGATCTTAAGGTGGTGACCAGTCCAAATGGACCAACTAGGATCTTCCACATCTTGTCATCTTGGACTGTTCGAGTTCTGCTTTCAGAAGGTGGTGATGGGGAGACAGAATTAGTTCACATTCAGTTCAAAAATTTCACTTAGCCCAAAGTGCATTTTGAAAAGTATCTGTTCTGGGATCAGGTTTTCCAAGTAGTCCCCCCAGGAAGAGAAAATCTTCAACATAATTCTCATCACTGTACTATTCCGACTGCAAAATAGTTCTTAGGGCACCATGTCTGAAGAAGCCTTCACCTGCTTCTTGATCAAGTGATCTGGTCACAGACACATCTATGACCCCCAACTGCAGTGGTCTGTTCTTGGGTCCTTACCCCCATTCTCCACAGGTTCAATAACTGTCCCAAGTAAAGCTCCATGCACCCAAGGCACTCCTTTTCACAGTAAACAAGAGCTTCTACTTGCCTTCCCAACCCATCTTTCCTGAACAGGCTGTAATCCTTCAGGTTTATCTCCTTAAAGTAAGCTACAATACCAGAGCACTGGTAAAAATGCAAATCTTGCAGCTATAAAGGGGAATGTGAAGACAACCTGCAGGTAGTCTGCCAAATACAGCCATGTATGTATGCCTAGTAAAACTACTTACAAAGCACTACAAGCAATCGTTTAAAACAGTTATTAAACATCAAGTTGATTATGTGAGTTTAACTAGGATAGCTTCTGCAATAGGAAACGTTTCTTCACATATTATTATGATTCTTAGACTGTAGACTTGTACAGTTTTCCACAAGGCAAGCTTGAATGAGGATTTACAGTACATTAAAGGGCCACTTGACAGTTACTGCTCACATTCATGCTCAGTAAAAAAAGTAAATATTTGAAACTTGCTTACCACAGCAGCTGCCTTATATGTACTATGGGCTAAAATAGGCACACAGGTAGTTATCGTGAAATCATCAGCATGTTGAATAGCTATAATACTCTGCACATACTGACTTGACTCAGGCTAACTTTTATATTTAACCTTTTGCTATGTGAGTAAAATAGCGGGTAAAAGGTGGAATTACATTTCTTTTAAATGTGTGGACAATTTTACAAAATCCTTTCAGAGAAATGAAGGCACACTGTCAGCCACAAGGTACTAGACATAATTCAGAAGCTTGTGGAGAAACTGAAGAAGCATATAGAAAGTCTCATGACAGCAGGGGATTTGCCACATGCACGGGGAAAAAAGCTCACTGAAGTAGCATTTGCAGACTTAGTGGTAGCATTAATGTATTAAGGCCCCAGGGAATATATCTTAAAACTGAGGATTGCTTAGGTATCTTGTTGCAACAACTAATTCAATTTTCTTCCTTACCATTTAGTATGGGCAGTTTAGACTTTCAAGTTTCTGTAAGAAAGTTTTGGGGCCTACAAAGCAATAGTAGAAGAGCAGCCAGTAAAGTTTTCTAGGTCTTGTCTAGACAGCTAATGCAGTTTTTACATATATCTGTGAACACTTTGGAGTATAGCCTTACAGAGCCAGCTAGAAATAGGCTATTGCTCTCTGTTTTCATTCTCTCTCACAGCAAAAAGTCATGGATTCTATTGCACTCCCTGTACTCCTGTGATTTCATTCAGCAGTTTCTGATCATATGCCTTCATATGCACTCTATTTTGTAGTTGATGATGGCAGAGACAGAGAGCCTGATAAACTTCAGCAGCCACAGCTTGTTCTTCACGAATAGCCAGAATCAAATCCATTACCATAGCTCTCTCCTGAAGTAAGTGGATTGAAAAGCAGTAAACTCATATACTGTGACGTCGGAGACTATGGCACTAACTGTGAAGGGAAAAAATAGCCCAAGAATAAAGGTACATAGGCATGAATCTACTTCTTAACACAGGCTTAAATTACAGTGCTAAATGGAATACTTTAAAGAATTAAACCCTTTTATATGGGTCCAAAATTGTCTTCTCTAAAATCCAGGCATAAACCCACTTGGTTTTCTTCAAGGACTAAAAGCAGGAGATTTTGAAAAACACTAGGGTGCAACACATATTGTCTGGAGCTAGAATCCTTCTGACTGCTATGTTTAATGTACAGTGAGTTAGAAACTGGATGACAGTTTCTACCACTGGGTTATACAAATGCCAGAACTACAAACAGAAACATGTGGTAGGCAGAAGACAGCTTGTAGCTCTTAAGTCAGGAAATGCCAAGTGCAATATAAAAATAAAACCACCACCCTTTAAATAAAACAGGTTATATTTCACAGTTTATTTAGGGTGATGTGTGTTGATTTCAGTCTGGAAAGCCATCATACTGCTGGCACGCAGGGGGTCATTTCCTTCTGCATTTAGGCTGTTAGAGGCCTATTTTGTCTTTCCACACTAATGCAGCTTTTAATTGCCTATGAAATTGCACCACCCTGAGGGAACTTCATAGTAACATTGAAATTGGGTTTTCCTTCTTTATGCTCAAGGATAAGAGGAAAAGCTACAGAAACTGGAGTCATATGTTTATGAAATTTACAGATTTACAGTAAATATTACCAGAAATTTACATTAAAATGCAAATTGTATTAAGTGACAGCTAGGAAACTGGAGGTCTTCCATCTTTTCCAGCTCTGAAATCATCTCACTTACCAGAGTAAAGGAAATACATGTTGATTTCATGCTCCTGTCACCTACAGTGCAGTATGATTATGCTACACTGCAAAAAAAAAAAAAAAAAAAAAAAAAGGCAAGACTTTTCCAAAAATCAGATTTTAATTATGGAGTTAATCTGGTTGTCATCTATTCCAACCCTTGCTCATAGCAGAGTCAGCTAGAAGCAAGTTGTTCAGGGCCTTGTCCATCTGGATTTTGAAAATCTCCAAAGATGGAGACTCCACAACCTCAGTGGGCAACCTGGTCTGGTGCTTGGGCAAGTACAAAGTAAAAACATTGTTTTGTTGTATTTAGGTGGAATTTCATGTATTTTAATTTGTGCCCATTGCCTCTTGTCCTTTCACTTCGCAGTACTAAGAAGAGACTAGCTTTGTCTTCTTTATATCTTCCAACCAAGTATTTATATACATTCATAAAATTACCCCCCAAGCCTTCTTTTCTTGAGGCTAAACAGTCATGGTTCTCTCAGTCTCTCCTCAAATGTTTCAATCTCTTAATCATTTTACTGGCTGTTCTCTGGATTCACTCAAATACATCCATGTCTTATACTGGGAAATCCAGAACTGCATAAAACACTCCAGCTGTGATCAAGCACTGAGTAAAAAGGAAGAATCATCTTCCTCAAACCTGCCAGAAACACTCCTTCGCATTTCAAGTTGCCTTGCAATGACCCTGGCCAGCTCCCTCCCTCCCTTCTCAGGGATGCATCCCATCAGGTTCCATAGACTTAGAATCACAGAATATCTCAAGTTAGAAGAGACCCATAAGGATCATTAAGTCCAAATCCCCACTCCCCACAGGACTACCTAAAACTAAACCCTACAGTTAAAAGCATCATCCAGATGCTCCTTGAACTCTGACAGGCTTAGTGCCACGAGCAGGTCCTTTGGGAGCCTGTTTCAGTGACCGACCACCTTCTCAATAAAGAATCTTCTCCTAATGTTTAATCTGAACTTACCTCGGTGCAGCTTCATTGCATTTCCTCATTGCTGGTCACTAGAGAGTAGATCAGCTCCTCCCCCTCCACAGCTTGCATTCAGGAAGCTGGTGAGGTTACCCCTCAGCCTTCTCTCCTATAAGCTGAACAAACCAAGGTGACCTCAGCAAATTCCTCCTAAGTCTTGCGTTTGAGACCTTTCACCATCTTGGCCACCCTCCTCTGGACATGCTCCAATAGCTTTATATCCTCCTTATATTGTGGTGCCCAAAACTGCACACAGGACTCAAGATGAGGCCATACCAGAACAGAGCAGAGCAGGACAATCACCTCCCTCGAGGGGCTACCGATGCTGTGCCTGCTGCACTCCAGGACACAGTTGGTCTTTCTGGCTGCCAGTGCACACTGCTGGCTCATATTCAACTTGCCAGGCTCCCCCAGGTCCCCTTCCAAAATGCTGTTCCCCAGTCTCTTGTCCCTCAATTTGTATGAATAACCAGGATTACTGTGTCCCAGATGGTCTAGATAAATTTCATACAGTTGGTGATTGCCCAGCTTTCCAGTCTACCCAGATCTCTCTGCAGGGCCTCTTTACCCTCACGGGAGTCCACAGCTCCTCCTAGTTTAGTATGACTGACAGACTTACTTATTGTACATTTGATTCCCATGTCCAGATAGTTTATAAAAACATTGAAGAGCACTGCCTGTAAAATTGACCGCTGGGAAACCCCAGTGGTGACTGGCTGCCAGACTGATGTAACCCCATTTACCCAACGTGCAATGGACTTGTCTAGCTGTGTGCTGGGTAGTTGATTCAGAAGGATACTGTGAGAATAGTGTCAAAAGCTTGGTAAAATCCCCAAACACCACATTTATTGGCTTCCCTTGGTCAATTAGATGGGTGACCTTTTCATGAAATGAAATTAAGTTGGTTAAGCAGGACTTTCCCCTTGTGAACCTGTACTGACTATAGTCAATGACTGCATTCATTGTCTCTCAGAACAACCTTCTCCATAGTTTTACCAGGTGCTGAAGTGAGACTGGCAGGCCTGTAATTACCAGGGTCTTCCTGCTTACTGTTTTTGAAATATTGCCAGCTTCCAGTTGACTGGGACCTCTCCAGACTCCCAAGACCATTGAAAAATAATGCAGAGGGGGCCTCCTATGACATTGGCCAGCTCCTTCAGTATCCTTGGACAAATCCCATCAGGCCCCATAGATTTATGTGCATGCAGCTGGAACAGCCATTCTTGATCAAGTTCAGGGACAGCTGAGAGTTTTATCATCCCCTCAGTCATGGTCTTCG